CACATCACATCCGTGCCAAGCGATATGTAAACCGGTCCTGGGCACCCTCTTCGCCAGGTCTGGATTGACTGGTGTGGTCAACCAGGCGTGGCTAGGAGATGTTAATTCCCTCGCCTGGTGTTCAGGTCGTGAGTTCGACGCTTGCTGTATATTTGAAGTTTGCGTGTCTCTCTCCCAGTGGTCGCGTGGATTTTTCTCCGGGTCATCCGACTTTTCCCTCCACATTGAGAATAAACATCATGCGTTCAAAGTATTTAGTTGCTATACATTTCCACATGATGATAAGCCAGTTTGTTGAGCTAGCATTTGTGATAGCCAGGTCACTTCTTTAATAGAGCTTCTACGTAGCATAGTCCTGGGCCTTACATCTGGTCAAACTGTGTTAAAGTCTTCCTGAACGCAGGGCACTTTTAGGACACTGTGCGTTAGTTGTGGCCGAGAATCTTACTCTATAGTTACTGGGTTCATAGTCAAGCACAGACCACTATACTACAGCTCAACTGCATACGCACACACACACACACACGCGCAAATATACAGCTCCATCACCAGTCTCTCTACTAGCAATACGTTCTGCCAGTAGCATTGGGGTGCAGTCTCCCACGAGCTTTGTTCATTGTCCATGATGCGTCATCTGTCCCAGATGTGGCACCACCAGGAGTTGCTTTCAACCATATAAGAGCCCTAGACTATTCTGCATTGGCGGAGCAACGAGACAGGTTTTCCCGCAGGTTCGTCTATATGCCCCCCCCCGTAAGAGATGTCTCCACGTGTGGGACTTCTCAGGTTTACAAGTGGTTCGTCTATCTGGCCACGTCGAGTTTATTTCCAGATGCAAAAAAAAAACTTGCAAAGAGGATTTTGGCCAAACAACCCAATGCAGGACACACTGCTCAATACGAGTTCTGGAAGTGATTGTACTGCAAGCAACAGCACAGCACACTTTGCGATGTTATTATACTGTGTTATTTACTCTACATGAGATAAGATGAATTGCTAAAGTGATGTCCGTCATACAGCATCGAGGCGCTCACTGTTGAGAACCTCGGTTTGAGCCCTGGCGCTGGGCTTCCTTCGTGTGCTGTTACCGGTGAAAGGGAAAGCCACCTTGTGTGGCTGTGAAGAGCTCAGGTCTACAATGGAACAGATTTCACGCCGGCGCCCGCTGCCACATGGCACGTGCTTCACGAAGGTTTTACCGCGCGGTTAACGAGAGGACGCTCTTTGCACGCTCGCTGATCTTGGAACGGGATTCCACGGTTGTCGATGTTTTCAGTAAAAACTCAAGAAAATGAAATCATACGCGGCATTCAACTAGATGTGCGAGTGCCGTCTTCTCTTATGCCTGCCTTATATATAGAGATTTTTAAGTCTTTTCCGACCCCCCCAGTTCATCCCGATAGGATGCCATCGGCATCGTGAGACAAAATAATCCACGCACGCAGACCCAAAACAATATGGCGGCAGCACTTTCCCACCTGCTTTGCCACTGAGAATGTTGGTCGCATTCCAGTCAAACCAATATTTTTACTGACCGGGAAGTTGGAATTCAGCCAACTTAAGTGCAGACCCACACTTAATGTTCTCGCGGTTTTTTTTTTTGTTGTACGCTCATAGGTCACCAGGTTGAGACTATCAACTCACTAACACTTGAGAAAACCAGTGTCGTCACGGGCAGCCTGCTTCAATTCCTACCCAGGAGCTCGGCGGGTCTATCGTCCCCCGGTGTTGTGAATGTTCCGTTAAAACCTAAAGTCAGTCTCTGCTCAAAGGGAATGGGCGCTCCTTCTCTGCTGTTGACCTCATGGACCTGGAAATCCCCCTCCGTGGTTCAGGAGCTCGCTTCCTCCTGCCATCCCCATTTTCTCTTCCCTTCTGCCTATGACCAAACTTCTCCATTAAGTCTCCGGCCGCACCTCATCGTAAAAAATATACTGCACACACGACACACTCACATTTCATATTCTTAGTTTTTTCGGTAAAGTCACGTTGAAGAGAAACAACAAAATAATAAAATATATATAAAACAATAATTATGGTCGAAACGTCGTGATAATTTTTTTATTGTTTTATATATATTTTATTATTTTGTTGTTTCTCTTCAACGTGACTTTACCGAAAAAACTAAGAATATGAATTAATGCAGTCACGTAAAGCTTTAAATCAAAATTTACACTCACATTTGTTGCGGCATCTCGAGACATGGCACGCGGCACGCGCGGCCACAAATCTAGACTGCGCTGCATTAGCTCCGGTGCCAGAGCGAGAGTGTAATTTAACCGATCGTCATCACATTTGGTATTTCGCACCACTCTCTCGTCGCAGAGGGCCTATCACGAAGGCGCCGCGTTTCGCGCACAAGTCTGCCGGTCAAATAGGCGTGCCGCTGCCACATGGTTATTCTGCCCAGTTGGGTCACCGTTGAGTCACCGCTCTTAATTTGGATCGTGAAGCTGGCACACACACACACATGTGGCCCGCTCTTTTTAGAATTAAGTCACAGGCTGTCTCCGACGTCCACTGTGAAGCCGACAGCATGGATTTCAGCTTAATATGCCGGCAGTATTAACCAAGGCGGTTGCCGGGTTCAAACCACGAACCTCTACACCGTGGAGTGGGGTGGGCAAATCCGCTACGTCTCGAGCATCCTCTCGTCCGTGTGGGTTTTCCTCCACCTGTGTTTGTTGTTTCCTCTTGTGCGCTGGTGATTTCCCCAGGGTCTCCAAGCTATTCTTCCATATGTAAAGAAGCACTCCAGAGTTCACCTCTTACACGGTGGTGGTGAGGCTCTCTTCCAGGCCCTGGCATGGGTCTGTTGGCAGGGTGACCGCTCTTTTTGTATCAATGAACATGTTTTCCTTGCAGCATGCTGTCCCACTTAAAAGGGTACTTATACATCCAAATTGTTTGGTTGCCATTGTGTGTTTTTTTCTCCAAAAGTTTGGAGAAAAATCCGATCGTTTTTTAAAAGACGCGCAGAGGTGTACTTTCGAAAAAAGCAGGAAGGCGCGACTCCCAATACGACTTGCGGGCGTGCCATGTGACCACCCCATTGAACTATGCTCTCAGCCATGTCTAGACCAGCCAGCTGAAAAGCTAAACATGTGGCTTTTAACTAAGTGTGTGTGGCTCAAAAAGTTGAACATGAAGCCCTCCCAATTTGGCAGCGATAAAATGGACAACTGCAGAGTCATAAAAGTTCACCAGTGCCTTGTGCTCTGGGGAAACCCATTTGTCTCCAGCCTGCTGCACTAATTTTTTCCACCCCCATCCATTTACAGAAGGCGGTGGATTTGGCGATTGCTTGGTCGAGAGAGCCGAGAGAGGTCTCGTCTGCGACAGGCCAGGGGCTCGCTCTCTCTCTGGGGTTTCCGCATCAGGCATTGCCTGTGCGACACGTTCACACACTCCGTTGAGGGAATTCACTGCAATTCCTCCGTAGATTGTGAGCGTCTTCTCGCCTGTGAAGAGTTTATCCGGAGCTCAACAGTCCTTCTCCCAGACACAAGCACGCACGCACATGGGTGTTATCGAACGTCTTGGGTACACTCTCTTTCCACAAGTGGCTTTTCTCTACCATCGCAGAGTGATCCTCTGCCACTCAAGGTTTTCTCCACGAAATTGTCTCTTTCCCGTGGGCTTTCTCCGCAGTATAAACTGGACGTGTAATCATCCCGCCACGGCTACCCTGACAGCCCCGATTTTGATAAAGCATCAGGATTTGTTGATATTGCGATTCGATTTGGATTATATACCATGGTTATCAGAACTGATTCTAGCCATGCACTGCTGCAGGCAAATTCAGGAGTTTAATTAAACAATCCTGCCCAGTATTCACACGTATATATCGTTTGCCTTGCAGTCTGCTCTGCCCATTCGGTTTAACAAATTGAGATTGATCAGTGTCCACGGAATGCAGACACTGCATCCTCCAAACACCTATTATGTTATGTTCTACATTGGTTTCATGCCCAGGTGACTGCTTAGCTATGCATATCAAGCCAGGGTTTTAATCTTTATCCAGACTGTCTGGAACTCAGTTCTTGCACTGGCCTGGTGACGAGATGTTAACTACCTCGCCCGGTACACAGGAGGTCGTGGGTTAGATCCTAACCCTGACGCCTGGAAATGTTCTTCCCGTAGCTGTGTGGATTTTGCTCCGGTCCCTCCGGTTTTTTGCCTGCACGTTTTAATAATGTGCGTTAAGAATATTTGGCTGCTGCCATAAATTTCAACGTGATAAGCCCACTTCGTTGCACTATCATTTGTGGCCCGGTCGCTTCTGAAAAAAGAACTACATAGCTCAGTGGGCCTTACACCTGGTAAAATAAACATAGTTTATCGTGTAACTCATACTCACTAAACTCCTAATCGTTAGGTCACAAGGTCAATTCCCGCCGGAGAGCGAGCGCAGTCCATCGCGTGCATCCAGAGCTAACAAAATAATTACCGTGTGGGAACTCAACAGTGATTGACCCTATGTGGACTTTCCATCGTCTGTGCGAGGAAGAAAGAGTGAAGGGCGATAGCGGGGAAACAGAAAGACAACGGGAGACACTCCGGTTCCGACTGTGCCAACTTAGCCGCCCGGCACTCTGGTCATTGCTAAGATAGTCACTCAAATGGAGCCGAGTGCTATCCCGTAAACGTTGAAGCAGAGAGACACTGCTGTGGAGACGTCTTGCAAGAGTTAAATCATTTGCCGAATTTCCACATCCTCTTGAGCATGTGTTCGCCTCTTGTTCAGGTGGGTTTTCCCCCAGTTTCCTCCCACAGCAAGACCCTACTGCGAAATTAGTCTTCCGACTCGGTGCGGGTAAGGACGTTGGATAATCTTCGTAGTCCTTCCTCTGTCAGCGGTCCACACGGCCACGTGAATCAACGCCCATCGATTGCAACTCTTTGTGATGTCTGCATCCCCAAAGGACTCCATGCACGTGCAAGAATTACCGCCATTTGGCATCAAACAGCGGAAAGTAAACTAAGGCTGCGCCTTATGAAATTCTAACCGCCAGCCAGTTACGAGTCTCTAATGTAGACTTTGTAAGGTTTTCCCAATAAGTGCTTTGAAAAATGGGAAACACAACTTGTCAGTTAAGAAGAGGCAATCACACGCTCCAATGGCCAGTATGGTATGTGCACTTTGCACAGCAGAATCCCATCACACGAGTAATAATTTTGAATTGAAATCGACAGCAAATGCTTTCCACAATAGGTGCGTTTTAATCGAGATGTTGGTTGCCGCCACTTTGTTTTAGCCAAAACTAAGCTGGAAGAATTGCTCCAAGCTGGGGCCCAACCCATCTGCCTCGTTAATTCAAGGTTTGATGAAACATCGAGCAAAGTTCGCATACCAAACCTGAGAATGTTTACTCCGGGTCTCCAATCTGCATCACCGGGCCATTCAATACAATTCTTGGTTGCAACGTTCCCGCGTTCTTGGAAAACATTCTGAAACGTTCCGATAACATATTTATCCTTCCCGAAAATATTAAATGTCGCCTTTCATGTTATCCTTCCAAATGTCAGTGCCTGATGATGCTCAACCGCCGCTTTAACTGTCACGTGGAATTTTTTGACGAGATGAATTTCCTTCCTATTATTAGATCTCGAACTATTTTTTTTTAATCTCAAATAATTGTCACGTGCCCTCTTCACGGCTTGTTATTTTTTTAACCTAATTCTTGATCGCGTGAGTTGTGAAGTTTAAGGTCGTGAACAGGAGACTGGTGTGGGTGATTTGATGCTTGTGCAGGTTCTCGGACTGGGTGAACGCCTTGCCGCACATACAGCACTTGAAAGGCTTCTCCCCAGTGTGGGTCCTGTGGTGGCTGTGCAGGGCCCCCGACTGAGTGAAGGCCTTGCCGCAAACCGAACACTTATAGGGCTTCTCACCCGTGTGGGTCCTCTGGTGGTTGTGGAGCGCCCCCGACTGCGTGAACGCCTTCTCGCACACTGAACACTTGTAGGGCTTCTCACCCGTGTGCGTCCTCTGGTGGTTACGAAGGGCGCCCGACTGGGTGAACGCCTTGCCGCACACGGTGCACTTGTAGGGCTTTTCGCCCGTGTGGGTTCTCAGGTGGTTGTTCAGCGCCCCGAGCTGAGTGAACGCCTTGCCGCACACGGTGCACTTGTAGGGCTTCTCGCCCGTGTGCGTCCTCTGGTGGTTGTGCAGCGCCCCCGACTGCGTGAACGCCTTGTCGCAGACGGTGCACACATACGGCTTCTCACCCGTGTGGATCCTCAGGTGGATGTTGAGTCTGCTCTGGTTGTCGGTGCTATACAGGCACTCATCGCACTGGTGCATCGCGGGTTTGGACCACCTGCCGTGCTGCTTGATGTGGTCCTGGAGGACGGGCTGGCTCACCAGCACCAAGCCGCACACAGGACACGAGATCCTCGTCTCTTCTTTCATCTTTCCTGTCTCGGCACACAGACACACAAAGGAAAAAATATCTTCCATGAAGCCTTTAACAGACAGTTGGGGCATGTGCTGTTAGCGAGCACCCATTTAGGCCGGCACGGCACACGAGCGGGTGGGTGGCCAACACCACGCCCGGCCGCCTATGTCTCGCCAGTGGCAATCTTTACACACAGCGCCAGGCACTAATTTAAGGCTGAGTCGACCTCCAGGAGACCCAGGACCGGTTCTGATAATTGTCACTGGTGATGGCCGTGAGTGGGCATCGAACTCAGGTTGGCGGGTTCATCACGGTGTAGTGCTAACTGCTACACTACCGCTCCCCACAGACACACACACAATTCATAACAGTATTTTAATAAATGTTTGTCATTCACCTGCAATTTTTTCCAACACAATCGGGGCTGATAGAGCCAGCAGCAGTCTACAGCAGTATCCAACCACTTCTCAGAGAGTGAGCAACTAACACCATGTCCACAGCATACATCAATGATTTATCAGTGGGGAGTTACTCTTCCATCTGGTACAGGTACTGCACCTGTACCAGATGCAAATTATACTTGTACAGCCACAAAAGGCTTCTTTGAACTGTGTAGTAAAAAAAAGTGAAATGTCATCGAGCCCAGAGGACATGTTAAATAGTTTAGGGGCGCTACCGTGGCTAGATGTTAACTACCTCGCCTGGTTTCCAGTTCATGGGTTCGATCCCGGCCCAAGCCTGCTGTATATTTTGAGTTTGTATGTTCTCCCTGTGGTCGTATGGATTTTTCTCCAGGTCCCCTGGTTTTTCCCTCCACATTCAGAATCAACATCACGCATTCAAAAGTATTTGGTTGCTATAAATGTCCACACAATAAGCCACTTCGTTGAACTATCAATTATGATAGCCAGGCTGCTTATGAAAAACAGCCGTTTATGTGTGCTGTGGACATGCTGTTGGTCACTCACTCTCTGAGAAGTGGTTGGAGACTCTGCTGGAGACTCTGCTGTAGACTGCTGCTGGGACCTACCAGTGCATTGAAATATTGAGTTATTGTTGTTACCGAATTCTTAAAGCAAATGTCTCTTCTTGTTATTTTGGTTGCCGGTCCCTGGGCTAACAACAACCCTTGAGCGACACGGCATGGCGGATGGGATGGGTGAGAGAGGTGGGATGGGTGAGAGAGGTGGGGTGGGTGGGGTAGACATTCAGAATCAAGAGGAATGCGATGATCTATGAAGCTAATTTTTTTTTGTCTCACAGATGTCCAGTAAGGGAGTCACGGGGTCAGAACTTTACAACAATACTCGAAAACACGATGGGAATGCCAAGTACAAGCAAGACAAACGAATCAATCAACACGCGTACAGATACAACTAAACCATCTCCATCCTTCAGGGCCAAATATAAAACCCGAGGTATTAATTTCACCTAGCAGCGGAGTGACAAATCCACACCTGTCAACCCCTTATCAGTGCCTACCTTATTCCAGGCCAATTCAGACCTTACTGGTCATCCCGTGCCCCTTATATATCTAAACGTTCATCCTACAAAGTCCCATCACAAGGGAGAAACATAAACATATATTTCCCATATTTAAACAGCTGTACGCGGTATGGACCTAAAAAAAACTAAATTTCCCTGTACAAGAATACTGGGTAAACCGTATGGGTTGACAGGTATGGTATAGTCTAGTGTATAGTGTAGTGTATAACAAACCTTATACTGGTAGGAACGAAGTTGTAAACTGAGTGTACCAGCCTGCAATAGATTAATGCGTCCGTCCGTCCCCTTTCAATACTTTAACGAAGTGAAATCTCGTGCTGTTGGGGTGTAAAATCAGCAATAGACAGCGCAGAGACTTGATATGTCTTATTGCACCCAACACAAAATGAGCATATTTCAGTCAATAAGGATTTCACCATTCCATTCCTCTACAGAGGTTAATTTGTCCGAAGAACCCTCAACGATTTTGAAGGCAAAAAAAGGTGGGAAGACGCTCTCAATTTGCACAATTTTACGTAACAATGTCATAAAATTGCGCAAAATTCCAATGTTCCTACCAGCCCACCCTGCAGGGACCTGTTCAGTGCCTATCTTATCCCAGGCCAATTCACACCTTATTGGTCACACCGTGCTCCTTAAATATACCTCAACGTTCATCCTACAAAGTCCCATCACTAGGGAGAAACACAAATAAATTGAATGTTTTTTTTCCCCGTACTGAAACGGCCGTACGGCGTATGTATTCCAGGCCAATTCACACCTTATTGGTCACACCGTGCTCCTTAAATATACCTCAACGTTCATCCTACAAAGTCCCATCACAAGGGAGAAACACAAATAAATTGAATGTTTTTTTTTCCCGTACTGAAACGGCCGTACGGCGTATGGACCTAAAAAAAAACTCAATTTCCATGTGCACGAATTTGAGGTAAACCATATGGTTTGACAGGTATGGTATATATATTCTTGGTTCTTTCGGTAAAGTCACGTTCTAAGGGAAACAATAAAAAATATATATAAAACAATAAAATTCTCACGACGTTTCCCCTTCAACGTGACTTTACCGAAAGAACCAAGAATGCGAATCACTGCAGTCACTGAAGCTTTAAATCAAGGTATGGTATAGTGTAGTGTATAGTGTAGTGTACAGTAGTATGTAGTGTAGCGCATAGCACACCTGTCAAACCCCTTTATCAGTGCCCCAACCTTATCACAGACCAATTCGGACCGTATTGGTCACCCCGTGTCCCTTCAACATCTCAACGCTCATCCTACAAAGTCACCATCACAAAGGAGAAATACTGAATATTCCCCGTACAATAATAAAGGGGCTAAACGGTTATGGCTGGACGGATATGACAACTGCGATAAACAATAGTTCAATAATTATCGAACAGCAGCGGCGGCTATAAGAAATGGGTTGATGAAGACTAATACGAATGATTCTTCATCATCAACGATAACGACAGCACAGGCGGCCCTAAAAAAAACACAGGAAACTAGGCCTCATGTCTCTAGGCAAGTCCACGAGTCCGCAAGACGCCCGTCTCTGCTTACCGAGTCTCTCTCTCTGTGAGTGTCTGTCTCTCTCTGTGTGTCTCTCTGTGTGTGTCTCTGTGTCTCTCTGTGTGTGTCTCTCTGTCCGCTACACTCACCGTTTTTTTGTTTTTCTCTCTCTCTCTCCACCCTGGCAGACGCGAGGCGCCAACTCCTTCTTTGCCAGGGCCGCGTGACGTCACCGCATATGGCGATGACGTCACGCGCGCGCGTAATTCCGACTCGCGCGATGACGTCGGCGAACGCGATTTTGTTTGTTGAACGGCGTCTATGACGTCACCCGCAACCTCGGCTCAACCAGCGAAACGTCGTACTCAAACTGTAAACGTTGTGGATTCACTCTTCAACACACCGGTGGGCTAAAGTAGTGAACTATTTGTCTTTTGTTAACATGACACTTTTTTTTGCTGATTGGCCGTGTCGGGTGGTGGAGGGTTACGACACATTTATAAATAACGCGATCTAACCCAAAAACCTTTATTGCGAATCACGTGACCTCCCTTGCATGTTCACAACAAGTATTTGTGGTTAATTCAGAGATGAGTCCTTGTAAAATGTTTCAGCTTGGTGTTTTAACATCTTAACACAGCTGTTTTATTGCCAGAAAGGGTAAAACCTATTCTTATATTTTGATACTGTCAAGAGAGGTCCCATGATGTAGCTGCTCACCCAGAGCTCTCAATATCCTCATAGTGCAATGTATTTGTGTTGTTCGCCTTTCAGCGTCCTCTGGGCTAGCACTGTCTACGGCGAGGCTCTAAAGAAAGCTGTCTCTGGTGTGGACCAATCAGTTTTAAAGACAATGCATATACTATCAGAGCAAGTTTTTTTTTAATTAAATTTGCATGTTCACCACAAGTATATGTGGTTAATGGAGACAATTGCTTGCAAAAGGTGTCAGTTTGGTGCTTTAACATCTTGTCACCGATAATAGTTTTTTTCCCCTTTCTGGCAGTAAAACAGTTGTGTTAAGATGTTAAAACACCCAGATGTTAACTCCCTCGCCTGTTATACCAGAGGTCGTGGGTTCAATCCAAACCCTGACGGCTGCTCTATATTTGGAGTTTGCGTGTCTCTCTCTCCCCGTGGTCGCGTGGAAATTTCTCTGGGTCCCCTTGTTTTTTCGCCTCCACATTTAGAATGAACGTCATGCGTTTCGAGTCTTATGGCCGCTATACATTTCCACGTGATGATACGCCACTTCGTTGGGCTGCTATCATTTGTGATATGCCACTTCTGAAAAAGAGCCACGTAGCTCGGTAGCGGACCTCACCGGATTAAATACAGGAGTCAAAAACGAGTTCCTGGGTCTCCCTGCTAAAAGAACCACGGCTACTGCAAAAACATCGGTCCAAGGAGGCACACGGGTCAATGGACTTGTGATTTTATTTTGCCGATACAATAAACCTGCTTGCATTTTATTCGTGTGTGCGTGTAATGTTTGCTGTGCATCTATTGAAACACAGCAGCAGAGCCCATGCCATTCAAAAGCTGTGTGCGTGTTTTTATTCAAGCGTTTCATACATTAAGGTTGCAGAGATACGGATATCGTATTTGGCGCTTAAAAACGTCTTGGCAACTCGAAGCGTCTTGTGTCACGGCTTATCTCAACCATTCCAATGTCCTGCAGCGATGTAGCCTAGAGGAGACTCACCTGCAACACACTTCCTTCCGATATTAAGAAGCCACTGGGAACTATGCCCTTTTAAATCACCTCCGATTAGCACGGTTGGCTACGTACAGTGCGAAAGGTCAACACACATACTTACACGATGGCAGCTGTCCCTGTAAACGCAGCACCAGCCTGCAAGTGAGCATGTGACAAGCAGCAAACACAAAACGCCGCACGTGCATTATTCAACCGAAGTGATTAGAGATCAGGAGCAAGATGCAACACAACCCAGTTAACGAAAACCCAAACCCGACTTATAACGCTAACCAAACCGGCCTACTAGGACTCTAACAATAGCCCCATCCATAAACATTATTACAAAGAACCCCCTGTATAGCCTTAACAAACTCATCGGGCAAGGGCTGTTAGCGAGTTGAACGTATGAAGGCCGCCTTTGTCTCCCCAGTGGCGGTGTTCACCAAACACCGCACCAGGTACTCATTTGAGGCTGAGTCGACCTAGGGGAGGTTCCAGGGCGGGTTAAAATATTCTCCACGGGTGTTGGTCGCGAGCGAGGATCGAACCCGGGTCGCCGGGTTTGTAGCACAGCGCGCTAACTGCCACACGAACCGTTACACTACCACAACCAACCTAACCATCACCTGTGGCACGGTTATAACAGTCCCCTATTCAATCTTTGTATTTACAACTCAACTGTGGTCACGAAAATGCAATTGCAGGATTTAAAAAAATATATTCCTACACTCACGTAATAAGCATCGAAACCGTGCGTGCGAACATCGGTTATGTGCAAATGATATGCAAATCGCAGATTTCCACTCTTGGCGTGACCATGGGTAGTCCAACGGCAAAGGCAAACGTAACAACAAAACACACAAGAACTTAACAAAACTGCACTGCCGAAGTACAGAAGAGGGCAGGCAACACGAGCGAAACGGCAAACAAGAAACAAACTCATTTAACCAATCCTTGCAAACGAGACGCGGCGCATTCAAAATGAGTCGCGACGCTGCATCGGAACGATTTAAGGACGAGTCCGCTCAAGGAAGGAGTTGTCTAATAGCTGTGACTCAGCCGTAGGGATTGGAGCGGTTTCATCCCCACGTCGCTCATCCTCCTCCTCCTCCTTCTCCTCTTCCTCCATTCTCCTCCTCCGATGGAGGAACAGGAGGAAAAGCGGCACCAGCACGGTGATCACCGGTCCCCGCGGCCTACCCAGCCGGCCCTGTCCTTCCTTTCCCATCCTCCCGCCAGTGTATCCGCCGGTGGCGCTGCAGCGCCCCGAGCCAGGAGAAGGCCTTGCCGCGCGGCCTCTCAGCCCGCGTGCGTCCGCCGGTGGTTTGCGCAGCTGGGTGGCGAGCGCGAACCCCTCTCGCCGCACTCGGAGCATGTGTGCGGGCCCGCTCCAGCGAGTGTGGGCCCGCAGGTTGGACCTCCAGGAAGCCGGCGTCCGGCGCAGAGTACGGGCACCGGTCGCACCGCAGCAGCACCGGCGCCGGATCCGGCCGGCCGGCCCGCGGTAGCCGTCTCCGGACCGGACTGCGCCATCGTCCACCGGTCGCCCGCCACCAACGAAAGGCTTCGTCCTCGTCGGCTGCGGTCATCTTCTCCTGCGTGCCGACGAGCGGTTGTGAACCTGACGATGACGAGCGGTTACGAACGTGGCGGTGGCGGTGACGGCCCCGTCCTTACAGCACAACAGCCCCTTTCGTCAGTGGTCTGTGCGCGAAAGGTTGAATCAGTTGCACTATAAGATATTTTTGTTGTTGTTGGGGGGGGGGGGGTTAGATTGCGTGAATATAAATGTGTCATTAAACCCACCGCCACCCAATACAGCCAATCAGGTTTGTCACGTAAACAAAACATGCCGATTTCTCCTTGTTCAGAACGCCGGTGTGTTGGAGAGTAAACCCACGACATTTACAATTCGAGTGCGAAATTTCGCCAGTGATTACGACCAACCTCATCAGGCGACAGCCAGAGTTTAACACGTTGGCTTTCGCGACCAATATTACCTACAATAGCGGTTTTATTATGGTGTGCTGAACTAGTGACTAATTGGCCACGTTTTGCTAACGTGGCAAACCTTACCGATTGACTGTCAAGTGGTGGTGGGTTTTTGCGATCTAACGCAAAATAAATCTGTATCGTGGAAAGGTTTAAACAATGAATATTAGCCTGTGCAATGGCTAGCATAGAGGTTATTTTTTTATAATTACGGTACCTAATATGCATGAAATAGTCACACATATTTTGTCAACTGACCTACGTGTGCAATTTGAACTTATTTCACAGCGCACGTAGCCAACTGCGCTTACCGGAGATGCGGGGGGAAGGACGACAAAATAAACACAACAACAAGCAGTTCTAAAGAAATACGTTTGTCAATCTAGATTATTAATGTAACAGTGCATAGCTCCAGTGACTATGTAATATCAGAAGAGCATTCCAGATGGCTGCGGATGCAGCGCATCTGAAAGCAGCAATACTTTAAATTGTCCGCGTAATTTAATTGGAAGCCCAAAAGTTTTTATTGTTAGGGAAATGAATGTGGCTAACAGGATGAGTGGGTACATGGTGGTTAAATTCCAGTTTAAATGCCTCACGGGACAAGCAGCTGTTTTGGGTATCCGAGGAGCTAAAATATTGCTTTTTGGTTGAGAAGATCCAACGCAGGAGATTCCCCCCTTGGGTTTTGATCTTCCACGAAGCTGCTCATGGTCCACCCCCTAAACCGCATCATCCCACTGCACAAACCATGGTGGCAGCAGCAGTAGATGCGGATGATCATACCTGATGATGGCACAAATGGAGAAATTAAAAACTCTCCAGTAGCGGCGTGGCGACTGTGGTCATCCAGAACAGAGGCTGTACAGCGTGTAACGAAGGAGCAATATGAAGGAGACATCACAGCGATGATTCGTGAGAAGCTTTTTTTGGGGTTAGAAAGCGTAAATATAAATGCGTTGTTAAACCCGTTACCACCCGATACAGTAAGGGGTTTGTCACGTAAACGAAACGTGGCCAATTAGTTAACGAGTTCAGCACTAACCAGTTGTGCGTTGGAGAGTAAACCCACTACACACATTTACAATTATAGTGTAGTGTATAGTGTAGTATACTAGTTCAGCTCTCACCGGTTGTGTTGGAGAGTAAACCCACTACACACATTTACAATTATAGTGTAGTGCATAGTGTAGTATACTAGTTCAGCACTCACCTGTTGTGTCGGAGAGTAAACCCACTACACACATTTACAATTATAGTGTAGTGTATAGTGTAGTATACTAGTTCAGCTCTCACCGGTTGTGTCGGAGAGTAAACCCACTACACACATTTACAATAACAGAGTAGTGTATAGTGTAGTGTATAGTGTAGTATACTAGTTCAGCACTCACCTGTTGTGTTGGAGAGTAAACCCACTACACACATTTACAATTATAGTGTAGTGCATAGTGTAGTGGACAGTGTAGTATACTAGTTCAGCACTCACCTGTTGTGTTGGAGAGTAAACCCACTACACACATTTACAATTATAGTGTAGTGCATAGTGTAGTGTATAGTGTAGTATACTAGTTCAGCTCTCACCGGTTGTGTTGGAGAG